GAGAGAAAGTGTTCCTTTTCATATTAAGTGCCCCTTTGTCTAATTTTACACTTTAGTTCTTAAATTCATTGATAAATTGTTATTACTATTTACCTCTATGTTAATCATAATTAATCTTTGTTTGTTTTGGATTAAACTCTCGTTTCTCTCTCTTGAGTGTTATCAACATTAATTTTACTGTCGGTATCCCACTGCATTTAGGCCTACCGCCCCCTTTTTCGTGAATAAATGAATAATAATAAAATTTTAGATTGTTTATAACAAATTATTATGAAAACAAACTTTGAATTGTTTTACTAATACGCTGTAAATAATCCGTACGAGGTAAATATATCAGCATAAATAGTTAAAATGCTTTTATCTTAATTTTTTTCATGTTACAAGTTTTATGTAAACAGAAACTCATCTTAAGCAGATGAAAATCATAATTGCCTTAGAAATATTGAATCGTATTAAGCGACGTATAGCATGAAATTTTTTTTCTATTCTTAAAAACTTATACTAATCTGATAATTACTATAGTTTTTAAAGAAGTTTGTTATTGAAAAAAATATCACTGGGATGTATTACATTATTCGAAGTAAGTTGTTCATCCAAAAGTACTCCGCCCTTTTTGTACGTATCACAATTAACTATAATATACAAAAACATCTCCAGAATGGCATAAAATAAAAGAAAGTAATTATGAAACTCACATAAACATCGATTTTATATTACAAACTAAATTAATCACTTACCTAACCTTTGAATATTTTCCAAAAGAGCAGATTTAGTATTATCGATGTAAAAAAAAAAAAAAAAAATATTTTAAGCATATTAGTTATGTGTTTACCTAACATCTCAAAATATTGTTCGAAAACTGTCTTTTAGATAAATAGCAAACACAAACCCTTGTCCAGACACCATTATAGATTCACTTACTTCTTCCTACTTTACAAAAACCAATAGTTTTTTCAAAGAGTACAAAAGCCTATTGTCTAACTCAATAAAAATAAACTCAAGAGAAAAAAACTAAGCATCCAAATCTGCTTTTTTGTGGCTAGG